TTTGTCGACTCTCCGATACTCCATGAGCTCACGTACGCATGATCTGGCATAGGGTGAGTAGGGACACAGACGAGATATATGTATGAATAGACCTTTCACCTAATGGACTTTCGCGCCTGAATCTGACTGCCATACCGACCTGAAAATTCGGAGGTGATTTTAGCGACCTCTTCTCATGGATGGCGGTTAGTTGAGACACTAGGCACTGAATTAGTATTAATGGGCAGCCAGCAGAAGGAGTGCGTAAATAAATGTGAGTTGACTATGGGGGGAATTGAAAAAGACAGTGCAGTATTATCAGATGGCAGACCCGTGCCCAAAGGGAGCTGCCCCACCACTTACACACACTAATACCAACCTCCTTGTATATGAGTTCTGGCGTTTCGTATCTCTTCGAGGATTCGAGAAAGGCGGCGAATGTCAGTCTATCTTTTTTGCTCTTAACACAGCCGAAATTCGATCTCGCATAATCTTGAGCCGAGATTCTCGACTGCCCAGGCATTTTTGACTTTCCGACCTATGTAGGCGTATAAGCAAAATACCATAATGAAACAAAAATTTTGTTTACGGAAATACACGTTTTAGGACCCCTTGATCATATTTTAACTATTAAAAAAAAGACATTTTTTTACTATGCTTATGAACGTGCGTTCATATATTTATACTATTAATACTATTGGGTCTAAACAACCGAATAAATTTCACTGTAATTTTTAATTTTTAAATCTGAAAATATTTGAGAATACTGTCCTATTTGTCCTCTTTGTTTAGCAATTTAAAAAAACGCTGACTCATTAAAATCAATCATGAAAATGAATGGAAGTTGACACCGCCCCTACTGAAAATAAAGGACTGGAAAATTTTTGTTCTTTCAATGAGGGAAACTCTTTTACTTAATCTTTTTCGAAGGCGAAGGCAAAAAAGTCGATTTCGCCACGGCAACAATGGTTGGACGCGACGCGTGGACATTCCCCCGAAATAGAGGATCGGCTTTTGTTTTCCAGAAACGCTAGCGACAATGTATTTTCCAAGAGAGTCGAATGTAAGGACCACTGAAGGACGCTCAGTCTACGATACATTTATGACAGAGTTTGGGGTGCATGTGGCCTAAAGAGCGAATGAGACTAAACAGGCCTGGCAACGGGTGACGCGATAGCGGACGACCGCGTTGGGTCTCCAGGTAGCACGTGTCGAGGCATTGATTGTTTATGAATAGAGAGAGAGTAGTTAAAAGAGGCAGACGACCTGACGTCGTACTGCTGGAAAAAATGAAGACTTTGTCCTGAAGGATCTGGCCACGGAGTGGGGAAGGCGTGGGACCTTCCGGTAAGAGCACTGTGAGGAACGGCACAGGACTTACCCCAGAACCGTCAAAGGCAAAATTTCTAACATACAGGCATGTCTCTATAAATTTCAAATCCATTAATCAATATGAATTTGTGATATCATGTTAGCCAATTTCGAAAATATGGTTTCGAGAAAAACTCATTTAAAATTTCTTGTATGATTATTAACCGTTGGGTACTCTTCCTTCTAAATGGCTATAACTTTGTTATTTTTACGAATTTTTTATGAGTCTACGTTTATTATAATTGCTAAATGAAGAGGACGTGTTCCGAGTCAAAAATCAGTTGCGGGGTTTTAAAAAAGGACAAATTTGCAGGTTTGTTCTCATTAATGTTTGCAGCGTGTTTGCGAGGGATGTGTCCGATATATACATATGTATATAATCAATTCATTTTCCTTCAATAATTCTCCATTGCAAAAATTCTACAGTATTCTTACATTTTTTTATATTTTAAAATTTTCCCATGTTATTAGAAAGTAGATATACGACGAAAGTTATACAACTTATAGTTCCTAGCATGTATAACATGTATATGTATATAACGCATGGTCGCTTCGTATGGAAAGTCAATGAATCTTCAAAAAGCGCCCAGGTCCGATTTCGAGAAATGTAAGGTTTGTCAGTCACGATGGCTTTTGTCGTTTACTAACGATTCGAACAGGTGGCGATGCCAGCAGGCTTGCTTTCGAGAAATGTAAGCGACGTCAACGATGCAAGAGCGAGAAGGAAAGCGATTATCAGCCTGTTCTTCTCGGCTATTCCGAAACTCAACGAGCTCACGTACACGCAATTGGGCATAGTGTGCGAAAGTGACGAATGAGAAGTTTCCGAGGCCCCGATGCACAGTCTGATTAAACTGATTTCGAGTCGCAAATACGTTTCTGGCGAGTTATTTTTTTAATAAATGATGTATTACAATTTAAAATAAAAAATAGAGAATTTGCGGTGTACGTATCAATGAAATACATCCTTAGGAATTTTAATAATCTTGAAATTTGTAAATACTCTTAATCGATTGATTTCTCCAATGAAATTAATCGATTAATGTCCAATGATAGACCCTACAGCTTTAATTCCGTTAAAAAATAATAAAATTTATGCAATTTTATTTTCTGTCCCACTTCCTCTTGTGTTAATTTCTGAATCTGTTGATAACGTTGCGAGTGACACGAAAATGGTAATGGGGTCCCGGGACCCCAGAAACTCCGGCCGAAAAATTACATTACGTGAAACGTCTATTCATATATCTCGTCTGTGATTCCACTTATTTATATTTTATTATTTTTATTTGTTTGTTTGATGTGAATTCAACTTTATTTATCTATCTGATTTTATTTGGTTATTATGAATGTTCCTTTTCTCTGTTTCTACTTTTACATTGTTTTTCGAATTTATGTGACTACTTTGATATGTATAATATTGCAGGATATAATAATATAATATTGATTTCAATCATATACTATATTTGTTTCTATACAAATTCATCAAGTTTTATTTTTACGTTCTTGCTCGAATTCTCGTAATATTCTACGGAGGTATTTTGGTTGACTTATTTGGTTGGGTAATTTGGGAGGTATTTCGTTTGATTGTTTGGTGTTGATTCAACTTGGTGTCTCGATCCCAGTTCCTTTCATTATTACGAATGTTCGTTTTCATACCATATTTGTTTCGATGACTCTGATCAATATAAGAGTGTTCGTTTTGATACGAATAACATTGTGTCGGAGGTACTTTGGTTGAGTAGTTTGGTTGGGTACTTTGGGAGGTATTTCGTTTGATTGTTTGGTGTTGATTCAACTTGGTGTCTCGATCCCAGTTCCTTTCATTATTACGAATGTTCGTTTTCATACCATATTTGTTTCGATGACTCTGATCAATATAAGAACGTTCGTTTTGATACGAATAACATTGTGTCGATGCATACATCATATTTGTTTCGATGACACTGATTGATATAAGATAGGTGATAGATCATTTTTAAGTGTCTATTCAATTTCCTAGCATATCTCACTAATATAAATTTTAGTTTTGATTTCAGTTTTGGAACAATCGCAAGGACATCGAGGGAGAACGCATCAATCGCCGAGGGACTTTTAATTCCAAGTTGATTAGTCTTAAGCTTCGTTGCGAGTATTAAAATTAACGTCGAAGCCTTCTTTATTATACGTATCTCCGCGTCCTACCAAGCAATTATTCAATAAGTAGCTTCTTTCTCGCTCGTTCCCTCGTTCCCAGCTTCGGTCACCGCTGTTTCATCGATCGAAACATGTGATCGGCCGTCCAGTTTGTCCGAAAGATCTAGTCGCCTACCCATGATGGATCGATTTCTAGAAATAGAAATCAATCTACCAAGGGCAGTGTTGATTCGATCCGAAGATCTGCCGCACGGTTCAGCATCGCGTCGCGTCGCGTATCCCATAATCTAGCTTCACCCCTTTTCAAACGAAATAATTACTTGGTACAACTAAACTAGAAGATCTTCTATCTCTTTAGTTTAGTAATCTAGCTAAGCTTAGCTAAAAGGGAGATCGATGGAACTTTGATTCCATCTATCTCCCTTCGGGTCTCCATTCGCAGCAACCTCCACGTGGTGAGACCTGGGTAATATTATTTACCGTTTAATTAATAATCGTATTACTGGGTAATGCAATTATTAATTAAAAACTAAATAATATTAGCAAATTGGCTGCGATCCGCTTTGCATAGGTCATCATAAATATAGAACTTCTTCACTAGGTTAGTTTGATTCTCATTGATTCATCAAAGATTCAAGAGTATTGTCACAGACGAGGTATACAGGTAGATCTTTTACCCAATGGATTTTTTTGATCCATTTTTATGGGGTCTCGAAACCCCATTACCATTTTCGTGTAATTCGCAACGTTACCAACAGATTTAGAAATGAATTTCAATCCCTTCCATAGTCAACTCACGTGTACTTACGCATACACTACAGCTGTCTGCCCATCAATGCTAATTCAATGAATAGTTTCTCAACTGACCGCCATCCATGAGAAGAGACCGTTAAAATCAGCTCCGAATTTTCAAGTCGGTATGACAGTCGGTATGAAAGGTCTACTCGTATACCTTGTCTGTGCTTTCACGTATAAGCACTGTGGTATAAAGTCTACTCTTCCTATACTTCTCGTCTGTGGTACACTATTTTTCGACAAGCTTGGACTTTGTGCAGTAGATAGAGAAGTATTCTAACGTACAGCAATGCATTCGATCTAGTGTACAAGACATTGATAACTCTTTCTCGATAAACTTGGGCATTTTGCCGTAGATGCCCCAGTGTATTCTTCTTTCACTTCTGGGTTAATGTATTTGCTATCTTTTAACAGACGTCTTGACTGAATAGTGCAGTCCGAACGTCTGTTAAAAGATAGCAAGTACATTAACGCAAAATTCAATGCTATTATTGAGGCAGAATATCAAGGATGTAAAATTATATACATATACATATACGAGCGTTTGCGAGAGAGCGATCCCTCTTGCGGCAAGTACGGGAGGTAATGATCCCACAGTATACTAGCACATATTTTTGTTAATTTTAAAAAGATACTTTGGACTAAGACCGACTTATATACTCTCAAGTTTATGTATATTAAGCTTAGAAGAATAAACATTTAATTGAATAACATTTGTGTACTTACAATTAGATGTATAATTTAATGAGATTGAGCATTACTTCAGATTGTTAAAAATCCAGTATGAACACACACATTCTTACTTTTCTCCTTTCAAAAACTTATAAACGAAACTGAAATCTTTTTTCGAAAATCCATGTGCTATAATAGTCCTGTAGATTTGGTACGCCAAGGAACCCAAGGGAATAGTTGCTTCCACCTTATTAGCAGCAAACTGTGCCAGTCCCAAGTCTTTAGCCATTAAAGCTGTACTGAAACCATTCTATAATTAAATAAAAATAATTAGTCTTCATTCGAACAATCATTAAACGGGGATTCATATTTTATTTTTTCAATGGAATACCATAACAATGTTTACTGTTCTAGATAGTATACATGTGAAACGTCTCTTTTTATTTTTCATAGTTAATTTTTTCCTTCCTGGATGGAATAATAAAGCACAATATTTGATTTATAAGATCATGGAACAGTTATGCAAAGAAATTTATTAAAAATTAATTCAACGATCAAATATTATATGCAATGTATGGTAGTTCGTTGTAGATTATGTATAATTGTATTTTAAAATATATAATTTTTGTTTTTCTATAGAATATAGGAATTTTTGTTTTTCCTCGAACAGAGATTTATTTACTTTTACACGTTACATTGAACAGTGAGGCTTAAATAATTGAAAAACAAAAAAAGAATTTCACATATTTTAATGGCACCACGTTTCGTAAATTGATGCAATTACTGTAATAGTTGGCTCATAACTAGACTGTGGATGTTTCAGCATGCATCACAGGCGTGAATATGTAAAATACATGCAAAGTAATAATATATGCAATTACATGGAAAACATATGCGCATCGGTGATGGGTGCATTATTATCTCGATAACGAAAAAAATCAATGAAAGTTTTATCGACGTAAAATTTCTATCTGAATAAAGATTTGTGCATATTAATTACAAGTTACTTACGTCTTTACTCAATTTTTTCCACCGATGGCAGGGATTAACAATTTTTTGACGCAAGTATTGAAAAGAAATTAAAGTCTTTTATCTTTGAAGGTTTTGGAGCAACAAAAATCGAATATACCAAAAAAATTAAACAGAATTTTTCTTATTCAGGGTGTTACTCTACCTATAGTCAATATTTTGGGGGGTGATTCTACAGGCGAATATAAGTCGAAAATCAAGAGTGATGAAATTGCGGTAAATGCTTTGTTTATTAATTATCGATGGTTAAAGATTGGCGTCTGGAGCGCCTGAATGACGGCAACTTAAAATAGGGCCGGTCAGTATACCAATATCGATCGGCGGCAACGTCGAAGACCCCAACGAAAATCAGCTGATGGAACAGCCCGGCCGCCGATCGATATTGGTGTACTGACCGGCCCTATTGTCACCGCAGTTCGAATTTTAATTATTTCTCTATTAACCCTTTGCATTCGAGGAATGTTTCGGTACGCACAAATCCAGTCTGCTTTTCCTGTACAGTTTTTAATACCAAACGGTTACAAATGGTTCTTACCGTATTTACCGCTGTCCGTCAAGTTGCCGTCATTCAGGCGCTCCAGACGCCAATCTTTAACCATCGATAATTAATAAACAAAGCATTTACCGCAATTTCATCACTCTTGATTTTCGACTTATATTCGCCTGTAGAATCACCCCCCAAAATATTGACTATAGGTAGAGTAACACCCTGTATAAAAAACAAGCCAAAATGTTGTTTAAGTCGAAAATAATTTTCGAGGGAATGAATATTATAAAATTTCATTAACACAACAATGCGTATTGAATAGTGATTGGCAGGCCGTATAGTGCCGACTCCACCATTTTTAATTAATTTTCGCTTTTGTTCGCAAAGAGACGCGTCATACTGCACCAATGTTTTCAGGTAAAATATTTTCTTTCGTTAAAACGATTCGACTAAAAAATACATATAATACCTCGTAATTTTTGGAGCTCGGTACATTGTCGAGAATATCAGGGACAGGATTGTACAATTCGGAGGACCAGCATCTACCACTACTCGAGTTTACGATGTTGGCCAGCACCTTTGCGTCTAAACCCAACCTGAAACGCGACAACTTTAGTGAAACGATTATACCAATCGCGCACAATCCACTAAACTCGCGGTTTACTTCTGTCCAAGGTTAAACGCCTCCGCTGTACCGATCATGCTGACAGCCAGAAGCATATTGTTGCACAATTTCGCGGCTTGACCCATTCCCACGTTCCCACAATGAATTATCTTCGATCCCATCGACATTAGAAGAGGTTCAGCGAGCTCAAAATCTCTTTTCGATCCCCCCACCATGAACGTCAGGACGCCATCTTTGGCTGCGTTGACACCTGTCGTGAATGCAGATTATATTGTTCAACGTTCGAGAAAAATGCTAGTTTATCTTAGAGGTTGTTCCAAAAGTCTTTCAAAGTACTGTGCACGGATCGAAAGTTATCAACGACCCAGAAGAGTCAATAACTCCGCCTAATCTTCTCCAAAGTATGCCACTAAGTTCTTAGTGTGGATCCACTCAATCGATATAGCTAATAATAGTAATATGACTGGGGAATATTTGACTCGTGGGCAACTTTCGATCTATGCATAGTACATTGTTAAATATCATCATTTCTAGACACTGGCCAATCTATATAAAGCTACATTCAGACTTTCCAAGAACTTTAGACAATCCTTGAATGTACCGTGCACGGATTTTAAGTTGACAACAACTCACAAATATCACTAATTTCGCTCAATCTTCTGCTGCTCGATCTTCTATCTCTTTAGACTCTTAGTGTGAATCAATAATAGCAATATGACTCGTGAGCAACTTTCGATCTTTGTACAGTACATTGTTCAATATCATTACCTCCAGACACTGGACAATCTATATAAAGCTACATTCAGACTTTCCAAGAACTTTAGACGGTCCTTGAATGTACTGTGCACGGATTGTAAGTTGACAAGAACTCACAAACATCACTAATTTCGTTCAATCTTCTGCTGCTCGATCTTCTATCTCTTTAGACTCTTAGTGTGAATCAATAATAGCAATGCGACTGAGCTTAAATGTGACTCGTGAGCAACTTTCGATCTTTGCACAGTACATTGTTCAATATCATCACCTCCAGACACCGGACAGTCTACAAAGCTAACTCCAGACTTTTCAGCCTCCTCTGCTAGAGTCTGCGACACAAACGGATCCACCGTGCTGCTGTCAATTAGGAGACTGTTTCTTTTCGCTGACCTGCAAACACGAGCTATGAAAGATAACCTGCGTGACAGTTACGACCGCTAATTTACCTCAATAAGCCGTTATCGCCATTATAAACGTTTAAAACGTGCTCGTTGGATGGCAACATGGTGACAACAATTTCGACGTCTTTCGCTACGTCCGCAGGATTCGAGGCAACGTCAGCGCCCGCCGCCTTTAAATTCGACACTGCCGATTCGTTTATATCGTAAACGATCAACCGATGGCCCTGCAATGCGATTATTGACAAACGTAATTTTACTTTAAAAGAAATTCTACGGAATACTGCGTGACTCCGAATGGGTCGTCACCTTCTTCAACAGGTTTCTTGCCATGTGGCCACCCATGTTGCCCAAACCCACGAATCCCACTCTCGAGAAACATCGGGACCCTGGATTGATAAAAAACAACGCAAAATTTTATTCGATTTTTGCAGAATATCGTTTTGCAAAACCTCAATGAAATCTAATAAGTTTAAGTTGTAATACTGGAAAACTATATTCTCTTCAACGCCAAAGTTCATCAGTAAAAAAATTAAATACAACGAAATAATAAAACGATGAATAAAAATTTCTCTCGAGTGAATGTTCACCCACGGTACCAATCAAGGGTCAATTATACGTTGTTCGAGCACAATAAAGCGAAACTTTCATCGATCGAAGATCGTCAATCGCGTTTCGATTTCAATTGGTGTCCGCGAGTACATCGAGCGTAGAATTTTCAGACTTCGAATTCCGGCTTAATCAATCGTCGTGATTCAAACTACCTGTAGCGGCACGAAGAGTAAACAACGTTGACGAGATAAAAACACTCATCATCGCGAGGGGAGGGGGAAAGAGAAACTAATATCCCACGGCACGACGATGGAATTAAACTCGTTGTCCTCAGGCGTTCTTCTTCGAATTGTGCGTGTGAAACTACTGGCTAACGAGCCGTTCGATTTAAATATCCCGTCCTTCGATGAGCGTCGCGAATAATCGATACCGGTTTAAGGCACCATTTCCATGGAATAATCGATGGAAATGAAAATCTTTTCGAGCACGTGACGCGTTCCACGCGAACGGAAAACTGTTCAGGCCCGACAGTGCCACGAATACTATTTACAGTCGAAACGATCTGCGTTATCAGACCGAGTTCGTGTGTTTCCACGCGTTGGCCAATTCTTTATCGTTTCGATAAAGTTTGTTGATGTTATTCCAAACGTATCGCGTGCATCCTTCGACGTGCTATTAAACGCAATTATATCGGAATAACGGTGTGGGACAAAATGATGGTCTGTCACGTAACGGCGCGGTAATGGCCTCCCGACAGATCCACCAAGTTACCGATTGCATGTGTCATTGTCTGATTTTGTTTTCAATGTTACGTCGAGATCGCGCGGTTGAACTCGTCTTAACATTGGACGCGATAGCAGAGATCAAAGTCGCGCGGTTACGATGGAAATAAATAACGATGATCTTGGGAATTTATGAAAAAATTGTATTTGCTTCTTTTCCCGGAGCTCGAAATATTCGGGAGACGTTCAGGTGTTTCGGTTCTCGTGGCTCGACTAACTTTGCCAAACTAACATGCTTTGAAAGTTTCGAACGTGCACGTGATCAAAATTATATTTTACGATCTAATTATCGAGAAATATTAAAGAAATACGTCACAGTATTTTCTGATACAATTTTTTCTTTATTAAAGAATTTTTTCTAAGATTTATTTGAAACGTTTGTCTAACATTTTCACAAGCAACGAATTTATACCAGAAAAGCCAACAAACTGCGAGAGTTATTTTGCAAGAAATATAACCGCAGCTCTTAAAATGAAAATAAACAGCTCAAATATAATGTTTCGTTACGATCATAAGATAGGTGCAGTTCTTACTTGAAATTAAAAACTGAATTATTTTTATAAATTGATAAGATAAGAAATTTTCTAAGGGCACTCGACAATCTAAAAATGTTTGACCACATTTTATTTTTTAGGTCACATTAAAGACTACCTTCAGTAAAATATTAGTAAAATATATTTTAATAGTGTTCTTGTAATTAAAATAATGAGACATGTGGAATATTAACATATTGCCTACACGTTTCGATAAACACTGTTTTAAGAAATTAAATAGATTGCAACTGAAATGGATTGGTTCTCTATGACTAAAACAAAAAAGAAGTCGTTATTGTAAAGGCGTACTTGGACAACAAAATTGCACACATTTTGTCTAATGGAGTTCGTTATGTTTCATCGTAATAAAATGGGATTGTAAAGGGAAAAACATGCACCCGGCAATTTCTACAGTTGTCACGATGGACACTTTCAATCGCATTAGAATAATGAACTGAATTGCACGAAGTACATAAATGTACTAGCAATCATATAAAAATATAATACATTGTCACGATTAAAGATTAATAAATTCATTCGCTGTATATGCACAGTCATCAATACTCTCGATTATAATTAAAATAATAAACTCAATTGGAGTCATCAAACACCACATTGTTTCTTTTCAAAATTTTTGAGACGATGGGACATAATTGAAACGAAATTGGGAAATGCTAGTTTAAGTAATCGTACTAACTTGACTACCATACTATATTCGATGTTAGCTTAACGATAGAATATAACTGTTACTTGACAAAATCTAATTTCTTATTATTTGCAAATTAGCTACAATAACGATGTATTTATTATATTACTGGTTAGTTATGCCCCACGTTGTGTCGTTCGAACGTCTTTAGTGTGTTTCGTGGAACAACGAGTGATATACGAGCACAGGCAACAGAGAATAATAAAACGCGAACCGACGAACGATAACAAGAAATGTTCTTCATACGTCTATCATAAACGATTCGAAACACCGTCGCATCGGGTATAAGGAAAGTTCGTCAGTCAAGGTTTCGCGCTTCAGCTGTAATTGCATTTTGTCCTTGCAACCCTTATCTACCGTCAAACTGCACCCTGGACGTCCATGTTTGTGTGCACTGGGAGCTGTGAAATTGCACGTATAAACAATGTCAGCGGCAATTATATACGCGTGTCCGATAATTGGCGGCAAAATGGCCGATCTATATGAAAAAAATTAAATTTTTCTGGCAGAAAACGTTAAAAACAAAAAAAAGTTGCCAGACTTGCATCAAAACGCATCCTAGCTGCAAAAGATCGAAGTATTTTTTATTTTTCCTCGTACTGTTTAAATATGAAATTCTAATACATTGAATTCATATAAAAATTAATTTAGTCTGCTACATTTTGGTGTAAAAATCATTCCAGCCCATTTATCAGGTTTTTTTTTGCAAAAGTTAATAATTTTGTTCATAATAATAATGAATACTGTGTCTGTGTCGCTAAATCAAATCCAGGTCAGTCACTTGAGATTTAGAAAGTGTAATAAAATTAAAAAATTAAGTAATGATTTAGAGTAGTGGCAAATTATTAATGGCTATGACTACTAATGGCCATTTTAACCACCCTTAAAAATGTAACACGTGTTCCAGCCACCCCTTTCTAAAATTGCTCGACCAAGAGTTATACCCTCGGCTCGAGTGTGCATAATGACACTGGTGGCGCATAATAGAAATTACAGTTCATGCAATAGGTATTTCCGGATTCATTTTCTCGCGTGAAATGGTCGGATTGGCGTTCGTGCCGCTCTGTACGTTGCGACAACTCCTACGTCGAATTACACGGCGAGCCTGAGAACCTGTCGGTGCTGAGAACCGTCGTTCCCATTCCCAGACCGGAAGCCCGGACTCGCGCCACGTTTGCGTACTGTTGACACACGGTGGTCGGTGAAAAAGATAACCCAGACCGCGGACAAGTTCGTAGGGCTCCCAATTGGAAGATCAAACAAAGGGTTTCCCTTGAGTTCGCGAAAGGATCGACGGTTTGCTCGAAGGACACCGTAACCGAACTCGGCGCAAACATCGGGACACGAGACTCGATTATTTGCTAAGATTATGGTCCGCCGTGATGGCGGGTTTGTTGCTTTACGCTTTGGTGTTGTCAGCCGCCTCGTCGCTGGATGCAAAGAACGACATTCTTGATTCCGCGACGGAATCGTGGATCACCGACGACGACTTTGCAAAGATCGTCCGATTCTCGCTACCATTTTCCAGATGCTGCAACGTTCTCTTCGATGGTTGGTAAATTATCAGCGTGTTAGAAAACGGAGACACGACTTTTGTTTATTTTTTGAGCCGGTTCCTGAATTTTATTCAGGCTCTATGGGGGACACGGAAGTGCTGTTCAGGCAGTTCAGGAGTGTCTATCCGTACGAGTACCTCTTGAAACAGAGCACCTACGATTGCAACGGGTACCTTTTGCTGGGCTCGAGCGACGAGGAAATTAGAAAATCCTTGGACAAGTAAGAGTTCGCGAAATAGAATGCAGTAAAATGAAAATAGTAGACAAAACGTTTCTTCGATACACGGATTAATAGTATGGTGGTACCGGAAATGGGGATAAATTAGTTCATGAACCCCAGCGTATAATAATCTGATGTATATTCGATCGAATCAGTGTAACTTTTGTACATCGTGAAATACTTCATTTTATGTTATAACGTTTTCGTTCAGTATATTTGGACTTTCGTTTAATATTTTGCAAAGACCACTTTACGATCGAAGTGAAATATTGTCCAAATTTAACGAATTTAGTGCACGGTGATATAGTGACAGGAATGAGATCACGTTTACGTGACAGCGGTCTATAGCCACTGGCGAAGACATGTGTCCGTGACAGTGCCCGTTGAACGATTAACCCCTACTGGTCTGATAATAGCACTGTTCTTTTAATTTTATTACTCATTTCGTGATATACATAGTTTACGTAAGCTTGACCCACAGATGGACTTATTAACGAGTAAAAAATAGCTAAGCTTTCAGGAGGATTCTAAGTTTTCAAAATGCAGACAATGCGTATTTTAGTGGAGAATATATAGAAATTCTAACAATATTGAAAAAGTTATTCCTTGACTCCGCAAAATGAGAAAAACCCCATAAAATTGGTCCAATTTTCAAACAGCCATAACTCCTACAATAGTGAATATATTTCATTGAAATTTTGGGGGGAACTGGAGTTCATGGGTACCTACAAAAAAGTATTAGACAACTTTCCTGTAGGGCGTCAAACAAAATGACTAAAAATCAAAAACGAATTCCTAAGAAAACTCGACAGGGGGTGGGTGCCCAAATTTTTCGATGAAAAAAAAAAACTTCAAATCGTTCTGGAAAAATTATGTTCGGTTGCGGGGGTCAAATACAATCATTTTTGGTGGGTAGACATACCCCCGAAATCCTGCGCATTTTCGAGAAAAAAATTCAGTACGGGCGGAGCTTTAAGCGTTAATAATTTTTTAACGACAAATTGGTATTCTTGACTTTCATCCTATTTTGGCCTCTAGAATCTCCCATTAAAATTTTTTCCTTGTATAGTAGGATGGGTCATAAGTGGCTCAGACGGTCCGATGGCTAGTAGTATTTAACAAAAATTGAATCTGATACTGATACATGACCCAAAGTAATTTTCCACAGAATACCATCTCTATTGTGGAACACGGAGATCCTGATCCTGGTGAATAACAACGTTTCAAATAATTCCAGTCTGCTCGACTACTCTTCGTACGGAATTGCAAATGTGATTATCGTCTCTGTGTCCGGAATATGGAGGCTGTCGGAAAATTATTTAAAACCCCGAATATTCAATAAGCATGACAGGTATACTCTTTGGAATTAATAACCGAGGACATTTGTGGTGTTATCGGTTTTCCTTTTGTTGAAATGCAAAGGTACGACGGGCTGAAACACGAGTACGACAACTTCAATTTTCGAGGCAGAGAAATGCAAGTTTGCAGTGTGCACCGGCCTCCGTTCACGTTCTTCAATCGCACAATTAATAAAGTAATCAACGGCGTGCAAGCAAACGTTTTCGTTCATGACACTGGTAAATAACTTAATAACGTGGGTCTGTTTTTATTTTTTCATTACACAACGCTTTTCTTTCCACTCGATTCTAATTTCTTAATGCTTACATGTTCAATAAACCTATTATTTTCAGTTCTACGTCCAAGACAACAATTACTTCGACTGAATTTTACGATTAGTTTACCTCATTTCTAATAATTAAATCTATTATTAACTGTAGATTTGCAAAGGGATGGCATTGAAATGCAACTGTTCTTGATCATGGCGGAAAAATTGAATTTCACGTGGACGATAAGAAAACCGGAAGGAAACACTCCGTAAATATATAATAAATGCACGCGGTTTATTCTTTTTCTTAAATTAATATTAATGTATGTCGAAGATATGGAGAACGTTTCAACGCTACAGCATGGGATGGTGGAATGATAGGAATGATACACGAAAAGAAGGCAAGTCGGTGTCTGAAAACAAACACTAGCAATAAATTTTACCGATTAATTCACCGATTAGTTCGTCAAACATGCATCTTTGTACTTCAAAATAACTGACTTTAGTAGATTTCAAATTTGTTGTCATTAGTTTTGTGTACTACATATTCATATGAATAGTATAATATATGCACATACATTAACCTTCATCAGGATGCAAGAAAAACCTCCTCATCGCAGATAATTAATCATTACTCTTTCAACCAATATTTCTCAATATTTAACAGAAGAAAACTTTTTTATTTTCGTCATTTAAAACGGGTGCAATTGAATGTTTACAATTGTTTATTCAATTTAAATATCTCAAATTTTATCGTGATTTTATATTTCCATCGTCGATTATGAGCGACTGGAGAACAATTTCACCGATAAGTAATGATTATTATCTATCGAGAAAATTCAGAAATTTACGATTTTTAATAATTTTTTGATAACGATTTTGATAACTTTTTCTTGAGAATTCTTTCCGTACGATTTTTACAATTGTCCTTTCTCGTTCCCATTATAAACAACGAATGATGTGTATTATCATTTCCAATATCTTCTGAGCCCCAGGTAGACATGGCGTTCGGCGGCATCTGGATAATACACGATCAAAACGAATTCGTGCACCTCTCGGAACCATGGTACCAATTAGTCGTGAATTTCTTGGTGCCCCGTCCGCGACCAAGAACAAGCTTCTGGGCGCTGACCAGGCCATTTTCGGGCAAAGTTTGGTCCCTACTTGCGTCCCTGTTGCTTCTCCAGAGCCTGTACATGTACGGCCGTGCACAGATCGACTCGAAATTTCCGAAACGTAAGTTCGATATTGATTTCGTCTATGCGAACGTGCGTGACGAATGCTTCTTCTGCTCCATAAATTATAAACACGTTCGTGTTTCCCGTGCATCGCGTTAAAGCAATGAAATGACAAAATGCCAATCATCTTTTTCCTCGTCCGTCAAGTGATATCCTACGGAGTAAAACGAATGGCGGAAATTAGTTTGACGGAGAGCGTAAAAATATCGTTTGTGATTCGCAACACTGTATTCCCTCGCTTCATGAGTGAATCTATGCTACGACTTGTTGAAATCGAACCTCCCCCACCACTGTTTACGTTTCTCTGGAGACAAGTTACGGTTACTGTTGACTCGGTAACAGTTAATTTTAGAATTGTTTAACGTAATAATATAAAATACAAATGAAACAAATGAAAAATAGAAGTGTACAGACACACGCAGTATTCCCTCGTTTTATGAATGAATCTGTGCTACGACTTGTTGAAATCGAACCTCCCCCACCACTGTTTACGTTTCTCTGGAGACAAGTTACGGTTACTGCTGACTCGGTAACAATTAATTTTAGAATCTTTTAACGTAATAATGTAGATAACAAAATAATATAAAATACAGACGTGGCAAATGGAAAAGAGAATCGTACAGATACACGAAAGTTACGTAAAAGTAAATTGCAAGAAATGAACGATAAATTCGTATTCGTCAGGTTTCCGGAATTTCCTCGTTAGCCTGATCGACCTAATCGGTACCTTCCTGAGCAGCTCTGTGCCGCCAACCACGACAAACAACAAACTCGGGATACTTCTCTGGCAGACCGCTGGATGGTTAATAATTAGCGTTTATTGCAGCAGCCTTGCGGCCAGGCTGGCAACTTTGGAATATGAAAACAGGTAACGTCGAATTCCCACCGTCGCCGTGCCCGATTTCCGGCCCGTAAATGGACTTTGCCGATACGTGTTCCAGAATCGATACCACGGAGCAGTTCCTCGCGGCGAATTTAACATGGGGACGGATAAATCAGCCGCCGCCTTTTCGCGATTATTTCGACCTCACGGTATATCATCGCGAACCACGTTTTTATCGAGATCGTGATACACTTTTTTTTATTACTTTTGTATACTTTTCCCCCAGGACGATTACGCGGTGCAGCTACCGAAAAGGTTTCGAAATTTAAAAAACGCCGAGGAACTTAATAAACTCATTACGGATGGTAATTTCGCGATATTAGGCAAGATCGTTGACAACTGCTTCTTTCCTGACGACTCCATACCTAATGACAAGCTCAAGGTAAACACGAAAATCGTTGATTTTATGGGGAACCAAAAATTAAATTAAATCGTGAGTCAGTTGCGTGGTATGTTAGTTTTCGACCCACTTGTACGACGAAGACAAGTATTATAGTCGAGAATAATTTCGAAATGTAAAATTTTATAGAAATAATTTTTCCAACGAACACACTAAATCCCATGCTGCATTAGAATTTCAGACTTATGAGACAATCGGTAGGACGCTTCTACGCAGCTGTAGCGATCCAGCCTTGGCTTCTGATGCCAGTGAACAGGGTAAAGTACCATTTAATTTGTGCGCCATATTTGCTGGATAACGATCGACGAATTATTTTTATAATTCGCAAACTGTAATTCTGAATTAAAAATATTAACCCAAATCTGGATTTCGTTAATTGGATCGAAACGATGGACCCTGCTGTACGAGGGTTAAAAATCCAGTTAAATTGTAAGCTGGGATTAAGTCAGGTCAGGTTCTCTCTCGTCAACCTTGCTTTTCTTTTCATTTAACGAATAAAGACAAATTTTCAGTACTGATCTTCTGCAATAATCGAGGTTCTATCGTGCCGGTGTTCGAGAAGTACTGAACAGTGAACTTAATTGCGAGGCGTAAACTATTTTCTTCGTGTTTTTGTCCGCAGATGGTGTTGTTGTTGAAGCAAACGGGCATTGCAAATTGGCATATGCGCAACGTCATCCGCAGACGCAGCAGCTATAATCTTCGGGACGTTTTCGTAGAGCACGATGGTTACGACGGAAGTGTGCAGGTCCTCGGACTGAGGCCTCTGGCTGCTGGATTTTCGTTGCTGGTCGTTGGCTCGTCGATAGCTGCGCTCGTTTTTTATTTGGAACTGAAACGCGCCGCTGGATCGACTTCTATTTACCGTGTTCTTCGATCTATAGCCGGTAAACGTATCGAAAGGGGCTTAAAGAACCGTCCCTAAGTGATGATCGCGGTGCAAAAGAATTTTTCACGACCATAAAATGCGTTTTCGCGATAGTTGGTAATCAATCAATCGTAATCAATGGCGGAGACTAATAAATAATCTGACTCATAGTTCCACTGATTTAGGCAAATTTTAATCGAGAATAAAGAACACTAGCCGTGGTTTTGCTCGTTTAAATAATTTATAAATGAATTTATGAATAGTGAATAAAATTTGCTCGAATCTGGTTCCACTTCCACCATTCCTATTTCTTTCCTTTTCCTTTTGAGGAAAATCCTTTCATAGTAGATATACATATATGTATATACATATTACATTATCTATCGTATCGTATCTTATCGTATATTATCGACAGATAATGTAATGTAACTTTCGAAGATAGAGTCCAGTGATAAGTTAAATAACATAACAGAATCAGTATCTGCAAGTGTGCATTTTCAATCGCGCTTCAAAACAAGACAAAGGAAGCTTCTTCTACTAACGAATGTTCCTCCATATTTAAAATATGAGAACATCTTGTATGTAAAAATTATTTGCTATTAAAAGCAGTATTTGAACCTATAGGAATTTATACGTCACTCAAATTTTGGGATTATGCGTTTCAAGTTTATTGCGATACGTGGACTGATAAAGAAAATCAATTATAATGTAGAAAATATACGAATATATAGAAATGTATAAGATGGAGAAAATATATAAAAATACATGAATTACTAAATATGAAAAGGTCAATTTTTAATTTAAATTTTTTAATGGCTATAGAGTGACGAGTTATTTTGTTTAAATTTTTTGTTCGTGATAACAGTACACGAAATGCGATAATTTCGTTTATAATGATTCCCCGCGAGTATTTATATCATTTCTTTTTGCGGAACGGAGGATATTGTCATTGTGAATAGCTTAAATGGTACTCGCGTGGCGTGGAAGTCAGTCGGACCGTGCATGCAGCACAGATCACATCTAGAACGGATTTTTTTATCTCGCTGTATCATTCTCGTTTGCAATTGTACGTAAACAACGATATAACAAAATCATTTTAACGCTTAGACATTTTACAAGAAAAGTGAAAACTGTGTGAAGAAATTTATTTCGTGAAATATCGTTCCACGGATTATATTCTTGATCGAACATCGGCTCTGCAGTCAGAAACCAGTATATTTTTGTTTCTAATATTAGACAATAACTAAATTTCTACACGTTCAACGCGAAATATTTCTTCCCATAATTGGAATTTCTATTTTTATTCAACGAGCAAATTTGCTTATCTTGTATTCGGTAGTCGAAATTTGATTTCAGATAAGAATTTTCGCTCGTCTGTGCTTGGGAAGCTTCGAAGAAATCTTTTAAAAGAATGTTTTAAACGGAACACAGAAATTATTTATACGCAGTGATAAGAACGGTGTCTTTGGCAGTATTTTGTGTCCTCGTCGATAGATTGTGTAAATAATGTACAGTGACAGTGTCTGTTGAATGTGAACGTCAGCCTTCTTGATTCATTTGCTGAGTTATGGTTACGCAAGTGCCAGTATAAATGCTCCCGGTTACAATCGAAGCTTGTTGAAACGACAAAGACAGAAAATGAGTTTAATATTCCTGTCTCCTGATATAATCACATTCTAAATTTATATTTATCAGCATGACTATGAATAATTGTTGTCTTGAAGACTTCTAATGAAATTTAAATTATTTAAAAATTATTTGAAATTTAAATTAAATTTAAATTATACTGAAGTTGGAGATAACAGCGTAAAATATAAAGAAGATTTTTCAAAAAATTTTATCAAACTTTAGTAATATTTCTTCAGTTGAACTCGACTAACAAAATAATAGCACGAATCGTTACGAATAACATTATAATTGATACGAATAACCGAAATAAATTTCTTGTCGGTTATCAACAACAATAACAAAGTCTCGATCACTCATAATCGTTATTTGCAATTAAAAATACTTTAATCGAGAAAATAATTACTATCCCAAAATTTTTTTTATTTTGATCGGTGGCATTTTCATTATATTTTATTACACCATAATTCGTACGACAAGAAGCACGAAACGTCTTCAGGGGACGTTACGATTATGCAATTTATGGTAACAGAAATTACTCAAAGCTAAGCTGAATATTCTCACGCGATGAAACGAAAGTTACACGAGCGAAAAAACGATGTCTCGTTTTACATCCCGATTAATACATAGTAATTTTCGTTTGAAAGAATTCAACGGGGCGGTGCGTTAATAATAGGTTATTAAATTGTTTATAGTTTCACGGTGAACGATGAAAGAAAACAGGCACATCGACGATGGTAAGTGTTACTTTTTAAGACAATATTTTGCTCTATTGAAGATTTATTTATTAAACATCCGTTGATGGAATTTTATTTTAAAGTTACCTATAAAATCGAGCAAAATAAATATTATTCCTTCTAAATAATTTCCTTCATGGGGATGACAAATTGTCAGAGTTAATATTCCTGATTTATCGATGAAAACGTAATTATAATGGTAAATTAAGCTAACGAGTAATTAAATTAACCATTGCAAAGGAGAGACTTTCCTCGATAAATTGACTGCAAAATAAATCTTGAGAAAATTTTATTAAGGTCCCTAGACTCGTTTGAATGAAAAGAATCTTTTGAGAAAATTCAATGGCGTTAGGTGAAATTAGAAACTCCTATTTTCTAATAAGAACAGGTGAGGACTTCTCTCCGTCAAATTAGAGCAGTTCAAAAATGGCCACCTTTTTGCTGAAAATTATCGTTACATTTTCTATGATTGACCTAAACGTCAAAGGAATAAAAAATGTGTTTTTTTAAAAGAGTAACTATAAAGGTTTCGAAGAGTAATTTTAATGAACTTTCTTGATGGAGTTTGAGGGACTTACATTTCATAGATCGATACCTTCTGTAACATAGAACTTTGCTCATTGTACTGAACTTCTAGTTATCGTGTTAATTAAAGCGTTCCATATGTTCACGGAATTCTTGTCTATTATTAATTGGCCTATCTTAACAGTAAGCTGCAGATAACCCCGAAGATAAAAGTTCGCAGATTTTTCTTTTTCTATGTACACTACATCTGTGAACATATTTTAAACAATTGGAGCATACACAGATTCGATATGTAATAATTCCACTAATTCTTGTTAGTTCAACCAGCAACGGTGGACGAGCACATAAAACTGATCCACGACGACAGGTCAGTCCACGATGAGGAATTCGTCAAAGTTACGCCAGACGACCTCCCCGATTGGTTCGATGAGAGGTTGTTCAAAATGTGAGAAGAATCAAAGGGATTGTGTTAACAAAGCCGTCAATGGCCACTGAAGTTGCGTGATTTTGAAATTACAATTTTAGAGGTCAGGCGGCTTACATGGATAATATTCTGGGATTTGGAGTTGCGAACCTAACGGGTCTAATAGCGATACTATCTGTCCCAGGTATTGCAGAGGTAATAATCTGTTCGAAATACCCTTCGATCTTTACAGAAATAGAGATTTTTCGTACGAAAAGATATATTCTTTAAAGAATACGAACAGTTTACAAGCTCGAGTCTCATCCATTTCGATGATACATATCTTCTAACAACGAACTAATTGTTTTGACTTCCCAGCAGTAATTTTCCATTGTTAAGTTTATTTATTGAGCAATTTATCCACGTCACCGTGCAATAATCGAGGTTCCACTGTATTTCTACGATCATCTTTAAACACTCCATAGATTGAAATCCAAGCGAGAAAAATTGAAACTTCGCCGTGAAATAATTAATCGAAAATATTTTAAAATTTTACGTTTTCTATTGCAGATGCTCGTGTTCACGAGGCGGAGTTCGACTGTCTCTTTATCCTTCAGGCGATATATGGAAACGTTGTTACTTATATACGAGCTATTTAAATCCGACATGCTGAAAGCGGATTCAAAGTGAGCTTATGGACGGTCCCGTTAAATTTCCCGCGAAAATGCACAAGCCTGTCACACAAATATGAGATTACAGGTGGTTCCAGGCGATAAACGTGATACGATGGAAACACGCGTTAGCCACCAAGAGTCACATAGAACGTGGAGGCAGTGGAATATACATAAAGGACATGGCCATCACGCAATTCGGGTTCATTGGGTACGCTTTGACGTGCTCTGATAAGGTCGGATTGTCCCACTGTACCCTCGAACAAAGGGAGGGCTTCAATTATTTTTGGCGGGTCACGGCTCGCATGTTAGGCATATCGGATCGGTAATTATACATGGTCGTTATACATCAGTGGTTCTCGATTAAGAGACTCTTTTTTACTCGCGAATGGAGCTCATAAGCGAGATCACGGGCCACCAGAAATCTGTACATCGATGATTCTTAAAATGAACGTGATTCGTAAGTTGAACACTTGATTCGTAAATTGAACATTCGCTCTCGTTAGCTATAAAATATCTGCTGGCGTCGAATTTCACCTTCGCTGTACGAAAGATGGACGCGTCAACCTTGGAGCAACGTTCATTTTAAGAATCATTACTCTATAAAAGTTCCGTGGATCGCTTTTTTTAATTGCTTATTAATGAATTCCTTAGGTTGAACATCTGTCGTAAAACGGTGGCTGAGACCACGGAGTTGTGCAGAAGAATCGCAGGCGAGATAATTAAGAAACACTTGAAGGATCCCTTGCCAGAATCCGAGCAACTGGCATCGTACGCGGTGCAAAGTCTGTGGTACATCGATCCCACTTACGACGAAGATGCCATCACAGCCCTTATGATGGACATGACAGGAATAAAATGTCAGTTTCGTGTAACGCGATTAAATTGGTCATTCGTCGACAATTACTCGAACGAATCTTGTGTTCGCAGATAAGAAACAACTTGGATGGTACTCGAAGTTAAACATGAAGCTACGCGAATGGAACTCGTATCTCCACAGTAAGTGATTTCTTTCGACGAGAGAAGCTAACACGTGGTCTATTTAGAAACCACAGAACAGTGTCACCGCGTCATATAAGGTTTCTTAATCCAGAACAAGCTACGAATCGGTAGATACCGTGATTTACAACTTTCAGTCGCCGGTTGAACTTCGCTCGCTTAAGGGGCCATTCTACCTTGTAGGCATGAAAAATACGTGTTTCTTTGTGATTTTTTTTTGCGGGTTATTAAAGAGCGATTAATTCCGGATTTTGTAGATACATTTATTATATATTTAGCTATATTTACGAATTTTTGCAACGCATAATATCTATTGATTACGCTGTTTTTGTTGATCATCAAACAACAGTTTTTACGAACGGCACCCGACTGCGTACGTGATATCTTGCGAACAAGTTATTCGAAATCCTAAAACCAACGATATTCTTAATATAGATGAGTGTGGTTATAGCATGAACTAGGATCTTTTCAAAAAAACAAAAAATGGCAAAATGGCAGCTATTTTACGAAAAAATACTGAATATTTTCATATATTTGGTTGCTTTTTTGTTAATAAAAGAAAAAGTATTGCATATATCGCAATTATCCTAGTTCATGCTATAGGGAGACCAGTTCTGAAGATACTGTATAAATTTGATGTTGATATCTTGAATAGTTTTTTAGTTATCACGCACGCAGTGCCGAAAAATGTAGTTTCGAGAAAAACAGCTTTAAAGTTTCACGTCTAATTGTTATACCTGCGCGCGGTACATTTCAACAGGCTATAACTTCGTTAGTTTTCCGAATTTCAATTTAATATTTGGTAGACATATTTTCGAGACTACATACTAAAGGAAAATGCAAAAAAAAAAATATCGATTGTTTTAATCCCACAAGGTAGAAAGGCCCCTTAATTTCATCGACAATTAACGTTAACACGATTTAGAAACAATTTTTTTTTACGTATGATTAATTGATTTCCGATTCTGAATGTCTCTTTAATTTTTCAGGTGCTCCTTACATCGGTATATTGGTCAGGACAATTTCTAATCGTATATTGAAAATGCTTTACTGGCTGGGTGAGAACTACCCTATACTTGCCAGGATCGCGTTTGGCAAACAGAAATCGAGTTTTTGCCCGTACCCGAAAATAGAGTGAACGAAATTTGGCTCAAAAATATTTTAATGTACCTGATCTCATGGAAACAAATAGCTCGAGTGATCGATAAATACATAAATTCGAACGTTGCTTGAATAACGAACGACGCGTAATCGGATTAAAAAAATGTACTGAAGGTATTATATTACCTTTCGTCGATACTGGTGGAGTCGCCGAGTGAAATGGATGATAGTAATATCGATCGCCAGAGGTCACTACGTGTCGCGTGTCACTAATTAAGTATCCGAGCTGCAGCCGTCGATAGACTGGAAACGGTAATTAACATGGGTAAAGTGAAACAGTAAACTTTTATAAAGAAAAGTTATTCAGTAACTTTTAACTTTTGAATTATTTCTTTTCTGTTTTGTCGTTCTGCTATAAAGGTAAAGTCCTCTGTTAATGCAAGACTTAGCGGACTAATAGTTTCAGAGAATACATTTTGTTTTATAATTATATTCATTGGACCCCTGCTAATTCACAGCGTGTTAGACAATTTTTTTAATTTATATGTATAGGTAAAATTAAGCTTGACCTAATCTAACTCGAGATAACAATACTAGTGTGCTGCATGGCGCTAATGCAAAGTTTCCCTTGGTCATAATAGCGAGTAATACCAATTTTCAGTATTGTTTGTTGTTCTCTGGCAACATGAATCATTCAAATATTGATCCGATTTTATCAAAATTTGACAATAATACCGTAATCACATTGCCTATTCTATGACGACATTTACTTTTGTACAATTGGTTTCTACGATACAATGAAAATATGGCTCCTGGATGCAATATACTATGTTTTAAATGCCTCAGTTATTACAATTTTTTTTAATTTAGAAAGTTTAAATATATTACAAATATTATTTTTATAAAGTTTATTACATTGTTACGAACGAATTGTAACGAAAATTTCTTACGAACGCTAGTATGCGTTGTTAAAATTGTGAATAAAAAAATATTATGAAAAATAAAATCAAAAAAAAAAACAGGTTGATTAATAGGACTGTTTACTAAGAAACTAAAAAAATCTAAAAAATCCTTTAAATAATACGTTACAGGGAAATATATGTGGATATGATTCTTGTGGATTTCGATGGGGTCAGAAAATTAAGTTCAACGACAAAATATTGGGTTATGTAGTTTCCAATAACCTTTACCTCATAGACAATTTCACGATTATTAGTCTGTCAGTAAACGTATTAATACGATGACATAAGCCATGATTTCGCACGATTGATAGACGGTTTAGGTCGTGTCATTTATCAGTAACCAAAATAGCGTCAAATGATACAATTTTGACGGTTTTCAACGTTTCAGAAAGAATAAAAAGACTAACATGTTTTATTATACTAATTAACGCATTGCTTTATATTATTTTTGTAATTTTAAATTTTTATATATCAGTCCTCAGAAATTATTTACATATATTGATGATATGGTAAACAGAAAATATTATAGAAAAGAAGTCTCAACGCGATATAACGCGACATCTGTGATCAGAATGTTACGTCAACGCGACATTAAAGCGTTCGACGATGACAAGTGCGGAACAAAAGTATGCAATATACATTTGTTTGCTTATTGCTGCAAAGTCACTACTTTTAATGTCAGGTTTGTCGTCGTGAGAACTTAATTGTTGCGTTGTCACGACGTTCTAATCAGAGATGTCGTTCTATATTGTCGATACTTTGTCCCAGAGATTGAAAAATGTATTTTTATGCATATTTTAACGGTATTTGCTTACATACCGGTATTATTGTGACAGATATAAGGAGAGACACGACCTCCTTATGGGACTCTTGCCCCACGTTGAGAAACACTGATCGAAAACTACCGGTATTTCATCGGTATTCGTAATACCGATTCAATCTCTACTTTTCCCTCAGTTTTTATTTCTCCAAAACGTCGTAGGGGGCGAAGTAACAACGGTCGACACCATGTTACATAACCTATATTTACCAACAAATCAGTTGTCATCGGAAGATCGTATCTTACAACAGCGAGCATAAAATAGCCGCGCTGCGCATCATACGTGAAAACGGACCTTACGTCGTGCATTTCCTCGTTATAACGGGTGGTTCGTGCCCTTCAAAAATCAACGTTTACTATTCCCGCGTCAGTCGCGGCATATCCCTGTCCATCGACGATAATTATCAGCCGCAATTTGTCTGGCATCGTTCTCGTCTCCGCTCCACCCACGAGCGCCGCTCGAATCCTCTCTCCCTCGCGTTCGGTCCGTTCGGTGCCATTATCCCCCAGTTTGCCGGCGCAGAATCGCGAGTATGATTTTTACGCGAGTCGCGTGATTCCATGCACGGCGCATCTTCGATGCGAGCTGGTTAGAGACTTGCGTGCGAAGCGAGACCCGGCTCCGCACGCCTCGCGCCGCGCGCGAACCGATACAGGACACACCGTCGAGAGTCCACACGAGGAAACGCACGCACACCTGCCACGGACGTTCGCGTACACGAAGAAACGAAGGCGTATGTAACACGGGTCTCGGAGTACATAATACACAGCCATATATCCTTCTGTCCCGTAGCTACTCTCCCTCGACCCTGTCGCCTCTCTTCACGGTTCCTCTCCTCGTTCCTTGGTTCACCGGCCCTTCCCTTCACCGCGCACGGTTCGCAACGCCGCAGCCAGCGATCTCCCTCCCCCTTTTCCCATTCCCCGGTCCACCCGTCCGTCGTTCCCGTGCCATCGAGTACTCCATGTCTCCGCCCCCCGCCGCCGGCCCGCTCCTTCCCTGCCCCAACCGAGCCAGCTTGCACGACCTAAACGAGATGACTCGTCGCGGGGACGGAGAGGAGCGACGCTCTCCGGTGGAGACGCTGCCGAGCGAAGAAGAACGAGGATGAGAAAACGGGATAGATGGGGTGGCCGGGGCGGGAGGGGAGTAGGTATCAGAGGCCGTCCGGAGAGGAGAAAGAAGATGGCCCTGCGGGCCCTCGTGTTACACAAAGAGATCCGCGCGTCCGCCTCTAAAGCCCGATCCATACGCAGCCACGGCAACGTGGCTCCGCGCTCCTCGAAATCGTTTTGCGCCGCTGTAAATTGCGGAGCGCCTCGCTCCGCTGCCACCGTCGTCGCCCGACGCCCGACGTCGTCGCGGCGTATTGCTTCTTCCACTTTTCGTATCCCGTCCGGTGGAAGGAGACGCCGGATTACGTACGCGACGTTACAGGGGACGCGCACCGCGCCGAAACCGAGGAAACCTGGTCAAAACCCTTAAACACAGACTCGCTACACCACCTCATCACGTTCGCTGCCAGATCAAAACCGTCTAATATTCAGCACAAGTGAAATTTTGATTTTAGACCATTGTAAGCTACATAACCTAAAATTTGTTTCAACGTCTTAACTTGAGAATTTATTTTTCTAGTATCATAGTGGTAAATTCTGTCGATTATCTTGACTATGAACGCTAGCAATCCGAGACAGGCGAATTTGTCGCTATTTCAGTTGGATATTGAAAAGTTTTAAATAAAACTAAAAACGCTGTAAAATACCAACTACACCATCCAAATATCGAGCATTTCTATTTTTCGCACTACTGTTCGAAAATATGTCCAGGACGTTTTTGCGTATGGAAACCAGACGCAGCAGTCATGGTGTTAAAGCAAAAAATTCGTGCAAACAAAAATAAAATCAGTTCACTTTTTTTGAACCGTGTGAAATCGAAACGGTGTAAAAAAAAGGATGGAAGCGGATCGTGTAAAAAGAGAATTGAGTACGCGGTACGCATGTACGAATCGATGGTTTAAAACAGCACTTCGGCCCGAGTAAATTAGCACTCTTTCATTTGCGTTTCTGCACTTCGAACAGTCGCGTAGCGCCACCTACACATAAACGTAAATACGTATGTACGCGCTAAAGTAAATGGAGCATCATCGTGCATCGCGTTACGCCATTATCCGCGATCGATACATAACTATGATGCAAGACATTTCTGGAGAATATATAATGATGATAATACAGCCCTTTCTTGATTTTCCACGTGCTTGTAGGTAGAATATATTAAACAATGATGGTGCAAGGAATGAGTCTTGAGGCACGTAGGTTCAGTAGCACATCTAAAAGAGATGTAAAGGGATTTCAAGATTACGAGATTTCAAGGATTCGAGAATCTCACCCTTAGACATTATAAATATTAAAGTTAAATGAAGAAATCGGTAGAAGTCGTTCAGAAACTATAAAGATATTCGGTGACTGTGTCAAGGTTAGAATAAATGTAACACCGTTAGAGTGATGGATCTTCGAGGAACTTTAACGAAGTTTACTGCTCGTGCCATTATGTAAACAACTATATGATTTGTCTGCATCTTCGCGAATACTTCGGAAGTATCGAATCTTACCGCCTACTTGTTCCTGAAAATATTTATCCTCCCCTAGCTCGTAAATCCCGTATTTACGATCCTCGGCGAACACACAACTTTTCCCTGCGAACACGTACGCGTATACGTGTATCCGCAGAAAAATACTCGAGCGTAGGAAGCACGTGCGTACGTAAATCATACGAAATCCCGGTCCTTCCGGTGCTCCTCGATCGCGCTTTCCGTCCTTCGGAGGACCCGGTAAGGTAAAAATTCGTACAAGTTTTGTCTCGCTGTAGAAATTATGGGAAAATATTTTTCTGGATCCAAAAATATATATTATGCAACTATCGTGGATGTGCCAATAAATCCACACAGTTTAAAGCATAGTATTATTTATCATCTCTTTTGTAAAGTATGTAAAAAGTCCTTATTACTGACCAAATGATTAACTATCTCTATTAAACGGACAATCATATTCAATTACTGCTGGTCATATCAAAAACCACAAAATCAGGTTGGCCGTATAATTACATGACGGACGGTAGCGTCCCCAGCGGACAAACGATGAAGCACAGCTACTATACCTATGCAACAGACATATCGTACATCTTCTATCATCTCCATTGCAAGTATAGTAGCTGTGTCTCTTCGTTCCTCCGTGGGTGGCGCTAATAATGGTGGACAACTATTTTAGGTCCCATAGCACACACGTGGATAAACGGGCAACCAACCTGATAAACTGAGTTAGGTTGGCTTGTTCGTTCGATATACTTCTGTTACGTACACAATATCGCTTTCGTTAAAAAAAAAAAAAACTAAAAGACAAAACGATGGAGCTAAGAAAAAGCGACAGGTAGGTTCCTAGCCGAAAACTGCGAGCAGAGATTACGGGCCTGGTCGGGGCATCACGCAGGAGCTATTACGCGAACATTATCTCGCAGGTGTCTGTGGGACGCGCGAGCACGAGCGTGCGAGGACAGAAATTCACGTATGTGGTCGGTAAACGGAGAGCGTTCGTTAGGCTTTCACGAGTCAAGCTAGATAGCCACGGGCATTGCGTACGATCTCCAGCCGCGTATCGCATCCACTCGGACGACGTGCCATTTTTCCCTTCCTCTCGTTTCCCTCGCCCTGATCTCCCGCCCGATTCTTCCCTCCCCGCTAACCCCTTCCAGAGCCTTTCGATCCAGGAATCCCCCTTTTCCCTTTCGCCCTCGCGACGTGTCTCCCGCTCCACCCTTTCCTTTTCTTCTTTCTTTACGCGTCGTGGTTCGCGAGGTACGCGACCGAACGAGCTCGAGACTCCTCTCTTTCTCTGGATGGGAAACGACTGTCCTCCGATGCTTTCGAGCCGGCGCAACGACGACGCCGAAGACGACAAAATGCGAGCACTCCTGGCTGCACCGATGGGAAGAGCGAGGGACTTTCTTCGCGGCGCGTAACGATTCTCTCGATTCGGTAATTCCCCCGCGCGCAGTAACGATGCGGCGCGGGCTATTCGAATACTTTT